GGGGCGGCCGCGCGTGCCTTCGCAGTGGGCCCCGCCGCGCGGGCCGGGGGGGCGCGGGCGCCGCGCGGCGCCCGAGGCGAAAAAGTAGCTGTCAAATGCGCGGCGCCTTTAACCGGCGCGATCAGTGCGGCTCGGCGAGTCATGGCGACCGCAGCCTCCAACCACTACAGCCTGCTCGCCTCCGGCTCCCCCATGGTGCACGCCGAGCCGCCCGGCGGCATGCAGCCCGGCGGCGGCTACCGCGACGCCGGCGCCCTGGTGCAGGCGGACTACGCGCTGCAGAGCAACGGGCACCCGCTGAGCCACGCTCACCAGTGGATCGCGGCGCTGTCCCACGGCGGCCCCGGCGGTGGCGGCGGCGGCGGCGGCGGCGGGGGCGGCGGCGGCGGGGGCGGCGGCTCCGGGGTCTGCGGCCCGGGGCGGCCGGGCCGGCACCGTCCGCCGCCGCCGCCGCGCCCCCCGGGCCGCCGCCGCACCACGACCCGCACTCCGACGAGGACACGCCGACCTCGGACGACCTGGAGCAGTTCGCCAAGCAGTTCAAGCAGCGGCGCATCAAACTGGGATTTACCCAAGCGGACGTGGGGCTGGCGCTGGGCACCCTCTACGGCAACGTCTTCTCGCAGACCACCATCTGCCGCTTCGAGGCCCTGCAGCTCAGCTTCAAGAACATGTGCAAGCTGAAGCCTTTGTTGAACAAGTGGTTGGAGGAGGCGGACTCCTCCTCGGGCAGCCCCACCAGCATAGACAAGATCGCGGCGCAGGGCCGCAAGCGGAAAAAGCGCACCTCCATCGAGGTGAGCGTCAAGGGCGCGCTGGAGAGCCACTTCCTCAAGTGCCCCAAGCCCTCCGCCCAGGAGATCACCTCGCTCGCGGACAGCCTACAGCTGGAGAAGGAGGTGGTGAGAGTGTGGTTTTGTAACAGGAGACAGAAAGAGAAGCGCATGACTCCCCCGGGAGGGACGCTGCCGGGCGCCGAGGACGTGTACGGGGCCAGCAGGGACACGCCGCCGCACCACGGGGTGCAGACCCCCGTGCAGTGAACTCGCGGCGGGGGCGCCCGGCCCCTCCTCCTCCTCTCCTCCTCCTCCTTCTCCTCCTCTCCTTCCCCCAACTTTTGATTGTCCTTTTTTTCTTTTTTTTTTTTTTTAATTTTATTTTCTCCTATCTTTAAAAAAAAAAAAAAGACAAAAAATCAAAAAAAGAAACAAACGCGAAAAAAAGAAAAGAAAACAAAAAGCGAGCGAGCGAGAGGGCGAGCGCGAATCACAGCGGACAGACAGATAGACAGACAAAGCACCTGCACCACACTGTCCCTTAGACTGTAGGAGGTGTGATGCTGTATTTTGACCTTTCCAGGCGAGTGCCCGTGCACGGGAGTGGAGTGGGTACCGCGCACGGGCAGGCAGGCGGGCACCGGCAGGGCAGCGGCGGGCACCGGCAGGGCAGCGGCGGGCACCGGCAGGGCAGGCGCAGGGCGAAGCGGTTCGCACAAAACTCCCTCACTCGCTGGCCAAAACATACGGCGCTGCCCTGCCGGGGAGGGGGCGGAGGAGAAAGGGGGGCACGGCCACCTCGGGTCCCCTCCGCAGCCCCCTCCCGCCACACAAAGGCAGATTGCATTGTGGAATGTCGCTCGGTGTTGGCACATGCTGCTGTGTTTATTTTCTGTGGATCCCCTGTATGAATATATGTTAAAAAAAAAAAAAAAAAAAAAAAAAAAAAAAAAGGAAGAGAACTGAAAAGCTATCCCTTTTGATGTAGACAGTATTTAACCGTACCAATTTGCACTGCAAGAAAATCGAAGTTTACATAAACAAAATGTTTATTTTTTTCTTTTTTCCCCCTTCCTTTCCGACCTTAATTTTGCAAATGACTTGCATTTTCCACAGTAAGCGTTAGTCAACCAGTGACCGGTCTACAATATGTTACTGTGTTTTAGCCTTTGCTTTATGTGTATATGTGAACTTTTGTTATAAACAAGTATTCTTAAATACGTGTAACGCTTATTTTCTCCTTTTACCATAGCAAAAAGAATTAGTATATGTGTGTGTATGTATATATATGCAAGCATGCATAGACATACATATGTACACATATATATAATCTCTCTATATACACATATATATGCACCTCCAGCTTCCATTCTCCAGAGATGTGACTCTCGTAATTGTTTAACACATGCCTTCAATGGCAAGAGTCGAGTTTGGAGAAGGGAGAATAATGCAAATCAACAAAGTAAACTTCATTTTCAGGCAGTGTGTCCGGGGGTCGAGGCGCAACCAAAGGGGAAGGAAAAAATATGTGCAACCCTTCCAGACCGTGTCAGTGCGGGCAAGCAGGGCCTGGTGTGGGGAAGGCGGAGCGGGAACAACATGTTTCCAGAGTTTTCCCAGAGAAAGTGGCATTTTCTTGAGGGGGAAGGGGAATTATTTAGCTCCCCCACCACCGCCCCCTCAGCGCCCTTTCCTTCCCCTCCTCCTCCCCCCCCGCGGCTCCCCTGCGTGCCTTTGGCATCCCCGGGCTCGCCTCCCGGGCCGGTATCAGCCTCTAAACTTTCTTTTATTGAGCAGTTTTACGTCAAGGTAGAACCAGGGAGAGCCTGAGGAGCTGCTGGGCCCGAGGTGGGGGTCGGGTGCTTACACCTGCCTGTAAACACACGCTGCCCCCTCCTCTCCACAGAGACCGTGTGCATTTCTTTTTCACTTTACTTTCAATATTTATTTTATTTTATTTTCTATTTGTATCCAGCCCCTCTCCCTTCCCATCCTCCCCTTGTCCTTTGGTCAGATTGTGGTATAATTTATTGAAGGAAAGGACCAGTTTTAACTTGGGCAGCCTTGTGTCTTTTACTGGGGAATGAAATGAAGTGGGAAAAAATGCCATTTTTCAATCTGTGTTTCCCCCCCCCCCCCCCTTCGCTAATAGTTTTAAAGTGCATTTCGTGACATTATCTTGATGAGAAATGGTTAACTTTCCAAAATAAAAAAAGAGAAAAACCCACGGGGACAAAAAGAAAAAAAAATGGAAAAAAAAAAGGAAAACTGAAAGCTCTGAAGGGAAGCAGAGGAGCGGGACCTCGGAGCAGCGCATGTATGTGCGTGTGTCTGCGTGCGTGTTTGTGTACTTATGCACACACACAGCTATGCATATACATTAGAGGAACTTTATGATAGTTATAAATTCATAAAGGGATCATTTAGTCAGCACAAACGGGTGCTATAGAGACAAAGCATTTTTATAATCTAAAAGTTTACTTAGTTGAGTGTTGGACAATTATGGAGAAAAAACAGTGAAGCATTCTCTCGCAGAACTCTCCTATAAATATTGCATTCAGTAGCTAAGGCTTTAGAATATGTTTCTCATTGTCTTTTAAAATGCCTGTGACACTGGGTTTTCTTTCCTTCTTTCTTTCTCCCTTTCTTTCTTGCTTTCTTTCTTTCTTTCTTCTTGGTAAGACAGATGATGATTTCTAAGAGGCACATGCATTAGCCTTTTTCCTGGTTTTCCAACAATTGTTAAAAAGATACGGGCACCAAGCTTTTCTCTTTTCTTTCTTTTTTTTTTTTTTTTTTTTTTTTTTTTTTTTTTTTTTTTTTTTTTGGTTTGGTTTTTTAAAATTTTTTTGTTTGTTTGTTTATGTGTTGAGCTGCTTGTTATTTAAAGTGTTGAGGACTAGCGCCTAGTGAAGTGAATCAGATCAGGGCAGATCCAGTGGTGAAGGGAGGAAATGAACTTTCAGACACTTATTAATATGTGCGTAAGGTCAGACAACGGAGTTGAGAGGATGTTTGAGAAAGCCTCAAACTCCAAATAGGTTTACTAAAAAAAAAGTTACCAAGCAAACCTTACCACTATGTATATATGTTTAATATTTGTCCTTTGAAATGCAGAAATAGTTTCAATGTTTTCTTTGTCTATTTTTCTTTTCTTTTTTTTTTTTTTTAAATGCTACCCAGGGAAATATTTTCATATCATTTTTAAGTGGCCTGCCTCAATGTATATTTATTTCTTTTAAAGCAAACAGGTTCTGGAAACTGTTTTTCTGTAGCTTTAAATGAGTAGGTGAACAAAATCTATATGGGATGTAATTTTTTTTTTTGTTCAGTCTCTTTAAAAATACTTTGTTTTGGTACATTTGGATGTGCTTGTGGGGAAAAATAAAAACGCAGAGATCCTTATATATTTATGTTAAAGTAATATTTTATTATCTACATAAAACAGAAATGCACAATACCTTCATAGTTTCTTCTAATTATTGAAATATCGTTATTTTATTTTTAAAGATAGCACAGATTTGCATAGTTCTTAAGATCTGGAGGGAGAAGACCCCAGTACTTATACTGAGCTGAGTTTCTGTGTAAAAGCACCGCCGTTCCTTTCTATTTCATGGAATTTTTGGAATAAATTTGATGCCTATACCGAGAGGTTCCACGCTCATAACTTTCAGGGTCTTGAAGGAGAGCCTCGGGAGCTGTGTTCATTGTGTCTCTCCGCAGATGAACCACAGCCGTGTGTTTTGGAGCATTGATTTCTGTGCGGGTAGGGCTGTCCTGACTTTGATGCTGGTGGGGAGATCTCAAGTTTTTTGCATGCTCTGGCGGAAGGCATGGGGGGAGAAGAGGTTCGACTTTTCTCGGTCCCTTTTTATTATTTAACATCTGACTCGTAAAAAAAAGAGAGAGAGAGAGAGAGAGAGAGAGAGAGAGAGAGAGAAAGAAAGAAAAAAGCAAAACAAAAAGGCGGGGCTTAATGATGGGAGTACCGTTTGAAGGAGGAAGGAAGAACGCGGCTGCCCAGCGGGGCTGCGCACCCTGGGGCCGGGCCGGGCCCCTCGGCGGTGGCCCCGGTTTCACGTTAGGTGTCTGCGGCTCCGTGCGGTGACGAGCGGGTCGGTTCTGCCCGAGGGGTCCCGGCTGGGGACCCGCGGGGCTGGCGCGCTGACAAGCGACATCCACCTGCGCAGTGTTGGCAGGCGCGGCTGTGTGTTCGGGTCCTTCTTGGCTGGCTCGGGTTCCTAAGTGCGATATCCTGCTCTTCTCCCCCCGCTCCCCTCCTTCACGATAGTTTCTAGGCTTATTAGATTTAATCATCTTTTCTAAGTTCTAGTCAATATTACACTCATCCCGAACAGATTCAGCTAAATGATCTTATCAATAGTTTCGAAGAGAAGTGACAGAAAGAAGAAGTGTTTTGTGACCGCAGACGTGCTGACGGGTAAAATGTTGAAGCTGGGTATGGATTTAAAAGTCCTTGGTCAATAGCCCGCGGAACGGGCTGCGGAAAGCGAGCAGCCTCTGCCCTCTGCAGGACACTCGGGTGGGCGCCCAGGGAATATTTCGCCTTTGACGGCAGGGCCCTGCGATCGGGGAGCGCTCCCGTGTCGGGTGGACAGGAGGTGACTTGCACGGCCGGTGCCTCGCTCGGCGGGGCGGGCCCGGCGCCGCGGGGATGGCCGGCTCGGCCGGTGGCAGGGTGGCCGCTGTTCGGGGCCCGGCCTGCCCCGGCTGAGGCGCCGGGGCTGCTCCGCCGGGGCTCTTTGCCCAGCGAGAGGCTGACCTTACGGAAGCGACTTCTCTCGTCCTTCCGGACTGGTTGTGGGGAGGCCGGCTGGTTCGGGGGTCATTCTTTTTATCTCTTTCGATCTCCCTTTTAAGAGAGAGGAGAGGGGGAAATGGAGCAGCCATAGGATGCTCCTTCTTCAGATGGATGTCAGGGTGTGCGGCAGCTCCTCGGGCTCCCTCGCTCTCAGTTCCGGGCAGGGACACTCTGTCGTAGGTCAGATGTCAACAACAAAAGCCCTGTTTCCTCGGTTCGCGCTCTCTCTGGTGGAGGCCGAAACTGGGAGGCGAGAGGAGAGTGTATATCCTCAAGTCTGTCAGTCTTGATTGTCATCCCCAGTGTCTCCAGATCCGCAGGGGCGAGAGGCAGTAGTCGGTGCTGCCCGACCCGGGGAGCTCCCGCCGCCGCCCAGCTGCGCCGTCTTTCTTGAGAGTGGGCAGTGGGGGCCGGGGATTGGAAAGAGAGAGGCGGAGGAAGGCGAAATCATCCTACAAATTCCCCAGGCTGCGGGGCAGGCCGGGATGGTGTCTGGCCAGGTGTTCCTCTCGGGCTGGGCAGCTTGTGAGAGCCCCGGTGGGGGCAGAGGCGGCGGTGTCTCTCCGTCGGGCTTTGTTGGCGGCAGTTCGGGGCTCCCCCCGTGTCCCCTCTCCATGCTCCGGCTGCCTGCGCCTTCCCGGCCTCCTGCCCTCCGACCGGCCCCCCTGGGGCTGCTTCCCGCCCTCCGGCTGATCCGATGGGGGAAAACCCTCTCCCCCGGCTGCCCACCCTGCCTGCCGGGGGGCCCTAGGCCTCGGGGTTGTCCCAAGCCGCGTTGTCGGAGGTTTGGTGGTTCTTTGTTGCTGTGCCGTCGGTCTGGGGGACAGAGGGGGTGCTGACCCGGCCGGGGAAGGCTGGTGACGGCCTCCGGTGGGCGATGGGGCCCGGGGAAGAGCGATCACTGGCGGGCGGGAGAGCTGGGCTTTGTACGGCTTAAACTTAAACCTCTGGCCGTAGATACAGCACTGGAGGAGGGTGGCTGGCATGGGGGATCCCCCCAGCCCGAGCCCGGCCAGCGCCTTGCGGAGCAGGGAGCGGGGGGTGAGGAAAGAAGGAAACTGCCCGAGGGTTTTTGGCGGTGGACGGGGCAGCGACGGCCTTCTGCTGCGTCCAGAACGGAGCCTGGGCGTTGGGGTTTGTCTTGGGAATCGTGGCTCTCCCACCTTCCCTGCTCCTGCGGGCGGGTGTCTATTTATTGTGCGTTTCGGAAGGGACGCGACCCGGGCTGCCTCTCTGGCTTTAAATCTGGAGACGGAAAATATAAAAATCCAAATTTTCAGAGTTGCAGATGCTAAGTTGTCACTCTGTGCTCGGAGCATGGCCGGGCTGCCGTCGGGGATGCAGGAAGATGTTCCGCAGAAGTGAGTTTGCCCCTGGCTCGGACGGGCGATGCTGGGGGAGCGGGCACTTCTCCAGGGAAAATTAGTTAGAGCAAAGCCAAAGCGTGCTTTAGCAGAAATGGTAAAACAAAAAGACCTGTCTTCAGACTGGACTTCTTATCAAACTATAAACCAAACAAGTGGGCTCTCCGGCAGGCGAGTCCCAGCTGCAGCGCGGGAATTCTCACGCCGCAGTCGGTCTCGGCCGGTGGCCTGGCCCAAGCTGCGGGTCTCTTCCTTCGAAGCGTTTATCTCTCCCTGCAAACTCCCTGTAAATACCTCCGAAACTCGGCCAAGTGCCCCGAGTAAACCGGGATTTCGCGCAGGGCCCTCGGGGCCGGGAAGGCCGCCCGTGCCGGCGCGGAGCCCCTTCCCCCGCAAGCCCGGCTCCGCAGCGGCCCGGTGCCAGCGCCGCCTGACCCGGGCATCCCCGCGGGACTCAGGCGTCGGATCCTGCCCTTCCGTCGGCGGGCAAAGAGAGAGAGGCATGAGGCAAGGACAGCGGCAACAGAGCGGCCGATGCTGTGCCGGCGTTGCCGGGAGGAGCGGCGGATCGGCGGCGGGCGCTGCTCCCCGGCTGGGGAGGGGGTCCCGGGATCCCTTCGCCCCAGGGAGACCGCGATTTTAGCCCGTGTCTGCCTGGCCCCCTCCGTGCCCCTGCCGGGCAGAGCCGCTGCCGGCCCGGAGCAGGAGCTCTGCCTCCCTCCGCGGGTGGGGGTGCAGGGCGTGGGGGCCGCCCGGGAGCCCCATGGCTTCTCCGGCAGCGCCGGGGCCGTGCGGGCCGTCCCAGCGCCGGGCTCCGCTCCCGCCCGGCTGCAGCTCTCCCGGCCGTCTCGCAACGTCCCGCCCGGCCGGGCTGAGCTGTACCGGCCCGTGTGTCCCTGGGCCTGTCCGCACAGATACCATTTTAAGGATTAAAAAGAGAGCAGGCCGGGAGGAAGTTGGCGGCCGGTGTTTCTCCCCCCCCCGCTCCTCGCACGGCGGTAAATCCTGGCAGGCAGAGGCAGCTTGTAAAAGTGATGACGAGACCGCTCTCCCCCTCCTCTTCCCCGTCCCGTCTCCTCCCGTCCCGGGAGTTGTAAGAGGCGCTCGTCTAAAAGTTAGGACTTGTTTTTAGCCAGCCTGACTCATTCATTAATTCTCTTTCCCTCCTTGATTCATTCACGTCTACAGTCATTCATTGCCAAGTCCATGGAGGCATCAGCTCCTTGGTCAGTAGGGGAGACGTACAAACAAGGATGGTGCTATTTATTTCCCTCTGCCTGTGGATTTCTAAGACGTTCAAGCAGGCACAATCATTAAACTAATTTGTATTTGATTGTTTGGGCGGACGGGGGTGAATTTTATTGCACTAAGCATTCAAGCACGCACGCATCGCTGATTACCAGTATACATTAAATAAAGTTGTTTGTACACATTGTCTTACCACATATAGGCAGTCTTATTATTCTAATTACTCTAATTAGTGCATTGAAATGTTTTCTACTTGATTTGAGGAGACAGTGATTAGTTCTATTACTTCTTTTAACTCTTATTTCATGGAAAACTGTTGATGCATGTTCCAATTACCTTGTTTTTCTCTTTAATATAGCGTGGGTCAAAAATATTATGAAATTATATCGTTGGCGGGTAGAAACATCCATCTATTTTCGCTTTCTAAAAGAACTTCCATTTTTTTTGTATCCACCACCACCAGACAGAACACCCCCAAAGCGGTCACAAATAACTGCTTCTAGTCAAAGCAGCACGTTTCTTCTTTACCATTTCTTCTGCTAGTGCTTTGTGGTTGTAGCATTAACCTTTATAATTTTTTTTCCTAAAAAGAAAAAAAAATAGTCTGACATATACTTCACGCAAAGCTATTTAATAAGTTTTAATTTAAGGTTAGTATTAATTGATAGGATCAGTTCATCAAACATGTTACTTCGATAGGGAATTGTAATTAAAACCTTAATCCCGTTTGAGACTTAGTTTTATCTTAAACACTTTCTTGAGGGATTTTTCCCCCGTTTTCCTTGGCAGTTGCCGCTTGAAGCACGGTGGGGGTACAGAGTGGAACCCAGACCCCACCAGAGCAGGGAGGTTATTTCGTTATCGAAATACCCATCTTCACTATTGAGCCAATTGAGGTTTTGTGTCGAGTTTTGGGATGTGTGTGTGTTGGCCTTTTGTGTTGGTGTGGCGGCCACTTAAACCCAGACGGTGACAAAGCGGGCGGCGGGGATGGAATCTCGCCTTCCTTTCACGTTACAGACAGGGAGACTGGCTGTTTCTGTGCCATAAAAATACTGCTTTTTTGTTGGCTTTTCCCCCCTCCTCTTCAGGTTAGTTTGTTAAATAAATACGAAGGGATGGGGGGAAAATAAAGAAGGGGTGGGGGAAGGAAAAAAAGGAAGAAACGCAAACCATCCCTTAAATTCTTGGAAGTCTAGGTCTGGAGGGAAATCTATGGAGTTACATAGGTAAATATTGGGCCTAGGCTGCTTATACTTTTAATATTTAAACTGGGATTATAGGGGATCTAAAGACGCCTTCCTAACCTTTGCCAATTGCCTGTGCGAGGAGAAATCCCGCAAGATGCACAAAGGGGCGAGACGGCTTCCCACTGCTTCTGATAAACGACTCCGCCGCTGGTGTGGCTGGGGACCGACTGTCCCCAGGGCCGGGGCTGACGGGGGACAGGCAGCGCTGGGCTTTGCAGGGTGTTTGAAGGCCGGGGTCCTGTCCCTGCTTCCCGCGGAGCATCGTCTCGCCCCGCTCCGTGGGCCAGGCTCAGCGCTGGCAGCGCTCCGGTCCGGGGGAAGGCGCCACTGGCCGGGGCCGGGATTGGGACCGGGGTTGGGGCCGGGAGCGGGGACGGGAGCGAGGCCGGGAGCGGGACCGGCATTGGGGCCGGGATTGAGGCCGGGAGAGGGGCCGGGAGCGGGGCCAGGATTGGGGCCGGGAGCGGGATCGGGAACAGGGCCGGGATTGGGGCAGGGAGAGGGATAGGGATTGGGGCCGGGATTGGGGCCGGGACCACGCGTGGAGCGCGGGCGCCCCCCAGCGGTCGCCGCAGCCGCCGCGGAGACTCCCCCGGGAACGGCATCCAGCATCCCGCATCCCAAATCCCGCATCCCAAATCCCAAATCCCCCTCTCCGCCCCCAGGGCCCGCGCTCTCCCTGCGCCCAAGGGCACAAGATGGGCCGGCCTCAGGGACACCCGTCGGAGAGGTCGCTGGAGCCCATGGTGCCTCTGGGAGGGGGTTGACAAAGTCGTGAGTACACTTGTTGTCTTCCCTTCCTTTTTAATTTAATTTTTTTGGTGGTTTGGTTTTGGTTTGTTTGATCTGCTTGGGTTTTGTTTGTTGTTTGTTTGTTTTTATGTTTTGGGGGTTTTGTTTGTTGTTTTTTAAATATACACACAGAAACATCTAAATCCCATGTTAAAAGTGTTGCTTGTCGTCTGGATGGGATTAAAAAAAACCCAAAAAACCAAAAAAAAAAAAAAAAAAAACCAAAAAACTCCACCACCCAACAAATCCATGGTCTATTTGCAAGCCCCTGAAAACCGGGAGAGATGCCATTTGCCTTCCCTCCTCCTCTCGCTGGGGAGATGTGCAGTCCCTCAGACTGGCAATCGCTCTTCCAGCTCAGGCATGTTGGATAACAGAACAAAGCTCTGTCACTTCTCCGTGGCGCAGAAGCAGGCCCATGGCGTGGTGCCGTGGAGGGGGACATCTGTGGGGCTCGGCTGTTCTGTCCACGCTGTGTGAGCGCGGGGTAGCTCCTGCTCCTGCCCTCAGGCTTGCCGGGAAGTGCGAGCCCAGGGCCAGGCATCCCACAGGCTCCAGGAGCTGTTCCCTGCCTGCCGCACATCCCCGGCAAGCGAGGGCACAGCCGGGGCAGCGGGACTGGGGCAGGTGCCAGGGCCCTGAGCACACCTCTGCCAGCACCTTCCCACAGAGCTCCCTTCTTCTGGGAAGGCTGGAGACTCAAATCCCACCATTTCACCAAATGGCTTCTGCTCTTGCTGAAGGCAAACCACCCCACATGCCAGACCGGTGTCACCAAACGCCTCCAAAAAACTGCAACAACCCAAAACTCTCCTCCATTGGATGAACCCCCAGTTCCCCAGGAACAGAGATCTGGGGACAGCCCTGGTGTCCTGCAGGGCCTTTCTTTGCTGGCTGGGTGCTCTCTTGTTACGCCCAGGCCGTCTGAGGCGCGGCAGGAGTTGGGCTCTGTGTGGCCCCACACCCGCAGCAGCACGGGCTGGTACCACCACGCAGGTTTACATCTTGTGTTTATTTCAGTGCCGCCGGTTTGCAACTACCACTTGCCATGCTGTGTATGTAGGTGCTGAAAATGTTAAAATATTGTGAATATCAAGAACCCAAGACATTCAGACATTCTGCTGCAGCAGACTTCATTGCACTGAAAACTGATAAGTGACATATCACGATCTCAGAGTCTCTTGTTAACTCAACAAGCAAATTGAGCTGAAACAAAACAAAACAAAACATCCAAGACAGATTAAGTTTCAGAAAGAAATAAGCATTCTGCACAGAGCTAATCACACTACAGACAGCCAATACTGTAGCACTGAGCAGACATGGGAGAAAATAACCTGTTTTCCAGCTGAACATCAATGCTGGACTTGTTCATATAACAGAAAGGAGATGCTGTGGGTACCGCAGGAATTGGAAAGGTAAGCTATGGCTACATCTTCAACTACAGACCAAGTCTGTGTCCATCCTACCTGTGGAGACAGCTCTGTTCACAGTAGGCAAAAAACTGTAAGGTCCAGCCTCCAAAAGGAAAAGCTGGCTTTGTCCCAGGGACCCTTCCCTAAACCAGCCGATAAGTAAGGATTGATTTATTTGCTAATAGGTCTGAGGAGCTGGAGAACATTGGCTTTTTGCATACTAATTTTGCATATATGCTCAGTATATATATCCCTAACCAGCAGCTTTTAATTTTGGGTGGAATTGAGGCCTTTAGCTTAAAGCAGTCCCTCATTTAATCATCATGCATGTCTGCCTCTTTGGACTGGGCAAGAAAGAGGAGAAAACCCAGCCTGCCCACATGCCTTGTGTAGCCAGCCAAGAGAGGTGAGTGTTTCAGAGGTCCTGCAGAGAAGCTCTCAGTTCATTTGGCTTTGGTCCTGCCTCCCCTCCAGCTGACCATTCAGAAATACAAGCCCAACCACAGTAGGCGCCAGGCCACTTGAGGTTTTATATCCATATATTAGATTTCATTCCCCTTCACTTCCCACAGGCTGTGCCCACAAGGCTGAAATCAATCTCCCTCTCCCCTGCCTGGCGCAGCACTGTGACTCCTGCCCTCCTACCTCTACATCTCTAGTGAAAGGGCAGAAGGGGGCTCACCCTGAGAACACACACATAACCCAGCAGCTAAGCCTCAGCTGCACCTTCAGCTAATTCCCCTTGGCCTGAATCCAAGGCTTCCCACATTCCAGCACTGCTCTACTGCCAGACTTGGACCTAACTCTCACCAGAGGAAATCAGGCTAGCTGCAGTAGGCTCCTGCTAGTCCCAAACACACAGCCTGCATGGCCACAGGCAGGGGAAAGCCCCGTCATTTACATGTGCTGAACGACTTCTAGTTAAGGAAAAATTCAGCGGCAACCAGAGAGTCTGGGGTAAGGACACACGGTGGAGTTTGCAGGAGACCTTAGAGGCAGTGGCTGCAGCAGCTGTGAGTGTTGTAAAACACGAATAACAGCCTCATTGAAATGTTACAATTCCAAGCTGTTACCCAATACAGAAGAGCATCCCAAGGGAATATGGACCATTTTCTCATATCTGTTTTCAGACAAGATACAGCACAGCTATTTCTCGGCCAGAGGGAACAGCCTCTGCCTTCCCTGGATAGATCCTGCTGTTGTGTGTGAACAGAGCCACAACAGATATGAATCATTCAGCAGCAGACAGAAAGATGCAAGAAGCTGGAATTCCCTCACTCTTCCAAATTTAAGCTCATTACTTTAGGAGACTTCTGGAGAAAAGTGTTTTTTGTAAGGAGACAGTGCGGTTCTGAGGAAAAGATATGCTAGGGAGCAAGGCAGTAAATGTACTCTTCCTTGCACAGACAGAGGAGACTGTATGCATTCACTTAGTCTCCTACAATATTTAAGGGAAGTGAAAGATGCAAAAACTGCCTAAGGACTGTATATTTAGGAAAAGGCAAAAAGAGGGGTTGTAACCCCACACCCTCACAAATGACTTCTTCCTATCAGGGCACAGACAGCACTCAATCATTATCTGGACATCCTTAATCCGTGCCTCCTTTACAAAGATCTGCCACTTTGAGCGGAGGAGACACAGATGTGAAAGCCTCTACACCTTTTGGAGAGCAGCAGAACACACATCGATCAATACTTTAACTTGAAAGCTGCCATAATTCTCTGAAAATACTGAATTATTTAAAAGTATAGATATAAAAACATCAGAGCAGCATTGTAGATCTCTCAGTTTGATCAGTGCCCACAACATTTTGATCTTAAAAATTCTTTCTCTTAGCCAATTCAAAGATAGTGATTTGCTCTTGCATAACGTTTTTCTCCATGAGTCTCATTAGCAACAGATACAGTAAATACTATCTGGTGACACACAAATGGAAAATTAATCAGAACTGTTTTAAAACTCCTCCCCAGGTCCAGCAGCAGCCACAGGATGGACAAAAACAGTTCAGGGCACCTGAAGGCTATGTCCCACCATGAGCACTAGGCAGGGGTTCTAGAAAAGATATCTGCTGGGGGAATGAAAGTTACTGCAAGGCATTGTGTCAAGTCTATCAATGAATGTTATGGGGGAAAAAGATAGACATATGTTGAAAATAGCATGTCATCACCTTCAATGAACCCTCCCTGTGACAGCTAGATAATTTTGCAGACAAACCATTTGCAATTACTAAGCAGAAGCAATGGCAAAAACACAATGAGGATTTCTCTAAACAGAGATACCACACAGTAACTTCTCTGAAGTTTATCCCAAATACTGTAATTTTCTTCTTGATTCTTCTATGATAGGCCTTCTGTGCTATAGTAGTGTTAACATTTATTATTAAACACGGGTACTAGAAAAGATAACCCAAGCAGATTGCCAGTCACATCTTTCTGTCACATTGAGTGTAGTTTTTAAATACAGACAATTTAATGCTTATTATATATATATATATATAGTGGTGCACTTTGAGCTCTGAGCTTGTAGCCAGTTAACAAGGCTGAATCTAAGCATGATTCATTCTTTCCACAAAGAAATCATGGAGACTGCATCACTGGCCTGCAACTGCATTTAGAGACATATTGGCCTGAAGTTTGAACTGAAATTGTTTGTGCATTTGCATCCACAGGGGCGGACATGACCTTGCTACAAAAATGCTGCTGCATTTAGTTTACCTTCTGAGGATACCTCTATTTAAAGTTCAAAACTGCCTGGTCACGGCTTCAGGGCATTTTTATTTCTAGCTCTAAAAAATTATGAGGGAACGCATTATGTTAAAATCTGTTTGTAATAATAAATGCCTATATTGTATATAATAACATTTGATTTTACCAGTGAATAAACAATTGGAGCATGCATGGTATCAGATCTGCAGTGTTCTGTTTAAATTTCAGTCAAGATTGCCAATTGCATTGCAAAGTAACAGAGATAAGTTTGCATTTTTTAATGTTTTCACAGAACATTAAACTTTCCTCCCTCTGTCTAGACATAAAGCAGGTAAAAGTATGGGCATGGAGAACACATAACTCCTTAAATTGCCCAAATAATAATGCACATCTGCCAAATAATAATGTAAAGAAGTGTATTACAGGCTCTCAGGCATTAAAGTCTGCAAATCCTGAAATATTTTGAAATCTGGCTTGATCTGTGTAGCGTTTTTGTACTACTGGAAGTGCCCCACAGATGAAAGACAGACGCCTGGCACATTTCAGATTTTTGTGTGAATTTTCAATACTGTGAAACAGGTATCATGAGAAACAAGGCCACCAGAAACAATGCCTGAAACTGTACTTTAGCAGGTGTCAAAAGTCAGCTGTGTTTTGTCCAAATGCAAAGAAGCCAGGTCCAGTCTTGTTCATACACTTCTAGATAATTGTAAGCACCAGCAGCTCTAAGTTGATGCTAGAAGACAGTTTTAGCACATTTGAAATTAAACTGGCCTGAGGCAAAGCTGTGATACAAAAGCGGAACCCTTCAGGAGGTGCTGGAGATTAAAAGTCTTATTAAGAGTTTCTTTAGAGATGTTAGAAAACTCAAAGCTCTGTATCTGGCTAAGTGAATTGCCTCGAACAATTAACACTATCAGGAGAACCTAACACTCAAAAAAATTGTCTAGAAGAAAATGGGCACTGATTAAATCAACATCAAATTTGGAACCCATAAAACCACTTTAGATAACTCATCAAAAGGAGGACAAACTCCTAGCAAAGCAGTTGCTCATTTTCAATTCAACATTTGGGTTGATCTTGACAAGTAGAGTCCAGCTGATCACCTGTCCCCTTCTGGTGCCCATATTCAAAGCTGCAGAGCTCTTAATATTTTTGCTAAATTCAGAATTTATCATGTTACTTAAGTTCCACATTTAAAAGCAACTGTACCAGTACGTACATAATTAAAGGGATTAAGAAATACCTTATGGTAACATAATTTGCACTAGACTAGGAAATTATTCTTGAAAGAAAGTCAACAATTATATTTTTCTTGGAGGTCTCTCTTGGTACATTGTAATCTCCATATTCTGCTTTATATCCCATCTGTCTACATACATCTGTTGTCTCTTTCTCTGTACCACAAACTGTTTCAGGGAGTGAAGCATCTATTTTGTGTAACACACCTAGTTCCATGTGCTCTCATAGGACTAGAGGAAGCTAACCATTAAACAATAATATAGTTTTCTAATAATAATAAAAACTAGGTTACAAATTCATATCCAAAACCTACCTATTTCAAAATGAACAGTGATAAAAATATAACCAAACTGTTCCTCAGAATGCATCATATTATTTTGTATTTCATTGGTTTTTTAAAGGAATGCACGAAAGGTCAATGAATGTAGACAAATAATTTATTTTTTATTTATTCATTATTTTATGTACACTTGGCATTTTGCAAGACAGTCAAAGAGAAACAAATTAAGTGCAAAGCAAGATAAATATTATAGATTGAATATATTTTAACACATTTCTGTCATCTTTGAATTAGCAGACACACTGACAACTCAGGGAGAACGTTAATTTCAACTTCTTTATACTGGCAGTAATGGAGTAAACTGCACAACACAGTATTATGATATTTTAAATGACCCAACACAGCAGAAGAAAACAGGCTTAATTTCCTAAATAGAAATAATTGATTAACTTTTAAAGATAAGAAGATTTTATCTTTGAATTAGCAATATAAGGCATTAGATGATTTCTCCATAGTAAACTAAATCCTTCATGAATACAGGGCTAACATCTCTGTTTTGTGTGTATATGTGTATTCAAGTCAACCCATACTTCATACCCCAAAAGCATCAGTCAAATGAGGAGGAGTCAGGGATCCATGCCAGAGCTGTGTCTGCAAATGCAGACACATGTAAAACCTTTGGGTTTACACACAGAAAGAAAGAAGATACAGTAGCCAAATCTGAAAAGAAGGAATACACCAATAACACTACCTTCCACTTACTCTCGGTCAGGCAGAACACAGATCAGAAAAACCTTGTTTTGAAATGTAATCAAGTACTTGCCTAAGTATAAAAGAAAAGCATGAATCTCAGAGAGGAATATTAAAAAGAAATATAGATGCTAAGATAAACACTGCTTAGTATACTAAGAGGAAGACCAAACTAAAAGTGGATCAGCTAATTACTGAATAGGAACACAGAAAACAGATTTGGGATCTAAGACTGCACATACAGAAAGAGCTCTTGGAACGCTGACTATATTTAGGACTGCAAAGGGGTGGATGTTAGCTTCATGGGCCAATGCAGCCCATGATCAGGAAAAAAGTCCTGAAAAACACATCCGAGAACTGTTGCCCCTCCCTCTAGCTTAGATTTGCTAACCACTGCCTTCACCATACTTTAAATATGCTCTTATTACCTCTCTAATCTAAAACTTCCAACATCTGTTTGGAACTGAGGATCTTTTTCAGGGAATTTATTGAAGTCAGTTAGGACCTGAATGTTCTCATATGTTCACAGTAGCATTTTATACTTTAGGGCTTGAGCCACCATCATGAGGAGCAAATAAACAACTTCACTTAGGACATTTTTGTGGCACAGTACTGAGATGAACTATGTAAAAATTAAGAAGCTTTGGATCACAATCAAGAGTGGCTATCCTCATTTATGCTAATTTGATTTAAAGCATTTGCACAACCAACATGCTACCACCTGCTGCTTGTTATTCTTTTAATTGAAGCTAAATGCCCCCTTCCTTCTGCTTGCTTTAATAGCCAAATTAGGAGGGTAAAAAAACCCCCAAACAACCAAAAGGACAACTACTAGAAACCAAGCAGTTTTCTAGTTTTAACCAATATTTTGTAGGGAGCAATCAGATCCAGTTCAACTAACAGAGCAAAGCAAGCGGTGGCCTTTGGTGGAAGCACGTCAAGCTAGGGGACTAATAGAGAGCACCAAGGGGTAAGCAACCTCTTACTCTGAATCCACTCATGCTAGCTTCCAACAGAAATTTTACTGGGTCTACACAGACCTTTGCTTCTCCAAAGGTCAATTCAAGACCTCAATTGCAGACTAATCTGATCGGAATTACCTTATAGAAGAACCTATCTACTCAGTGACAGGACCCTAGGAGAATAGTGTCCTAACTTTAGTATCAACTCTAGATATTTAAAATTCAATGATATAAATATCCTCCAGCTACAGAAAATGTGCTTAGAGGCAATTATCCCTTTTGTCCTTCTCAACTTGTTATTACAAAAAGGTATAACTTGCTTCTGGTGCTTACAGGCATAGCATGCACAGCACAGGTATTTACAGATAGTGTCTGGAACCATTCCCTCTATTGCTGCTCTTCCACCTTTCCAGAAATTAGTTTCTTTAAAAGGTAATGCAACAGGAGTTTCTTGTTACATTACTCAAACTCCTATTGCGGCAGAAAATGGAGCATACTATTAAATCATAAATACAATGCAAGTATTTTGTTGCTGGTTATGTGATGGGGGGCAGGGAGAGAGACCTATTATGTTTAAATGAATCCAGGTACTGGATTTAGGTATTTAAATGTGAAAAGTCTGAAGATGCCCTTCCTTCTCATCTGCACATATGAATAAATACAAGCAGGAAATTTCCCCAGGCAATTCACACACCTCACTTCCAGAGCTGGGCCAATCTCCACAACCCTCAACTCCACCATCTGCCTGGCAAGGACATGAATGCAAAATGCCACAAGATGCTGAAGAGGTGGAGTGGCCTTATGTTCATTAACAAAATCCAGAAAGATCACCACCACACAGATTTCACTGTGACAGCTGAAGGGCACCTGTAATTGTCTGAATGCCAAAGTTAAATCAGAAAGTGCAAAGTCTCCCTGTGAACACATAAATTCCTGGTTACTTTAATTTACTTTTAGTAACTATTCCAAAATAACTTCAAACATAGACTAGCCATTAGTTTCCAAATTCTAACCAAGCCAGCTGTTTTCTCTGTTTGTTTCAGAACAGTGGGTATATGCAAAAATCTGTGGCACCATCCTAAAGAAAAATCTAGAGAGACCAAGGTCTGATAAAAGGGAACCCATCTCTGATGGTGAGCAGAGACAACTCCTGACAATGGTAAAATAGTAAATATACAAAAGATGGGAACTCACCATAATTATTACATGGTACCCCGCTAAAACACTCAGACATTTCACTGTTTCGTAAACTTGGTCCTCTTTTTCACCTGAATTCGAACATTTGTGTTTGACACTATGAACAGGTAACTGCTATACTCAGTTTCCTAACGAAGTAAGCAGGAATAACTGTCACTTAAACCATGGCAATCCCAATTCAGTGTAAGGTCTACATAAACAAACACTAAAGATATACAAACTAAACCATTCCTAGTGTATTATAGACAATTCAGTTTCTACCCAGAAACTACTGCTAGTGCCCAAGAATAGGGTTATTTTTCTTAGTCCTTGGTGTAGCTTTCAGGCTTTGAAGTGACGATCACACTCCCATAAAACAGTTGTGTGTTTTGTACGTTACAGATCTGCATGTTGAAAACCAAAATTTTACTCCAGTTAAGTTGTGTCTAGATTTTCCTGCTAACTTAAATGGAGAGATGTTACTTCTAAAATAACAAAAATGGAAATGTACAAGATTCTTGTGTCTGTTCTCAATATGCCAAGTTCCTTATGATATTCTTTCTTTTCCCCTCTCCCTACCTTGTTCAGCAATCAGTACAATGAAGCAAAGAAACCAACCACAGGCGTATCTCGGATGATAGAACAAAGAACAGATGAAGCTGGAAAGGGACCTCTGGAGGTCACCAGCTCAAACAGGGCCAGCCAATCAGTGCCCAGGATGATGAGTATCTCCAAGGATGGAGACTCCCCAAGCTCTCTAGGCAACCTGTGCCATAGAATGTGTCATCTTGTGTGTTTCAGTTTGTGCACACTGCCTCTTGTCCTGTTCATGGGCATCACTGAGAAGAATCTGGCTCCCTCTTCTTCATTCTTTCCCTCATCCCAATACATTGATCTTATTTCCCTCGAGCCTTCTCCAGAGACTTTACCATTTTTATCCCCAAACTGCAGTTTGTCCTCAGAACAGGACCAGCTGCAAAAAATCTGAGCAATTAAGTCTTACATGCACCTGTGTGTACATGCATGAAATAGTTTCAATGAATAACAAAGAACATGATTTCACAGTGGTATGCAAAGAAAAAATATTTTATGTAGTTGATAAAAATGAAACAAAGATACATTCTGACTTACTTAACAAACATGCACATGAAAGGTCAATATTAAGAGCATCTAAATGGTAAATCTTGATTTAGAAGTATGAGCAAGTGATTCTATGTGGAAAGCTATGTTCCTGGGAAAGGCAGAGCCAATCTAGAGCAAGGCACACATTTTCCTCACATCTACAAATAGCTCTGGCTACCCTTCCATGAGTTTCCAGATAAATCTGAATAAGTCTCCTTTCTTTCTTTCCTCAACCTTCTTGACATTTACATTTCTTCAGAATCTAAGGAAAATGAGTTTTCAAGTAGTTGAGGGTATTTTTATACTTTTATTTTTAGAAAAGGTGAACAAAACATGCAACAGAAAAACTTCATTGCTCACAATGGATGCCCTTCAGTTTAGGATATGTGTATTCCTAACTGCACCATTTACCATCCTCAAGTGAAAACAAGACAAGAAGAAACCAGAGCTATGTAACCCAAACAAAAGTATTTAGTCCATTAGCTGAAAAGGAAAATCTCACCACTGCCTCCTATTACAGAGGCTGAATCTTCTTAATGAGACTCTTCCTGTTGATGCGTTTCTCTGAAGCTCCTGAGGATCTGTAACATCCAACACTCATTTCTCAGCCCTTCCAAATGTCAGTTACCACAACTTGTCCTGTGCTGGTAACATTTATTAAAGAGCATCTTCTTGCACTTCGTTATCAAGCCAGATATCTAAAAATCACAGAAATCATCAACTCAGTGAAGGACTAATGCCTTCATCTGGGAAAAAACTTACTGCATCTGACACAGCACGTGCAGATGCATTCAACCAGGGATTTCTAGTCTAGTCATTTCCAAAGCTACAACTTACAGAATCACTGTTAAAGAGCAATAATGAATATGTAAATCATATAGATAAAGTCGCCCCCATAGTCCTCATAATAAAATGCTACATTTTATTTAGTTTTTGTAAATTTAGCAGTCCTGCTGATGTGACATGGGAAATATATCCCATAAGATGCAATAAGTACACACAGTTAGAACCAAGACTCTGCACACAATTTTTGCAAATGCACAGTGGGTGACATTTCTGATGACAGCAGAGCAGTTAAACTACTCAGTCTTAATTATAGCAATATGAAAGATTATCAAAATAGTGGCAATACATTAATTATGTTTGTCTGTTCACACATTTACAGAACTATACATACAGCCAGTTAGGTACATGAGATTCTGGAACAGGGAAAGAGGATGCATTTCCAAAAAAACCCAAACCCAAAAGCCAAACAAAATAAAACAATTATATATCACAGGTATTAGCAAGGGACAGAAGCAGATCCTGGCATTAAGAAAACTCCTCAGGGTTTCCTCCTCAGACTTTTTTTTTTTTTTTTTTTTTGCTTCTCTCTGGATGGAATTTGGAGGGTTTGAAGGTTTAAGGATGGATGTTGTTTCGGTCTTGTTTTTCAAGACAGGTAGTACAGCACTGGATGGAATTAATCTCAGTTTAGTATCTAACCTGAGCTAAATCACAGCTTCCACAGTCTCCAGAGAGGCTCTCTAGAACATGATTCATTCCACTTTCCTGAAATGTCTGCCTTAGGAGATTAATAACTCTCTAGAGGTGCCCAGATTCCTCCCTTGAAGTAGATGTCTAACTTTCAGAGAACTAACATTCAGTGAGATGAATTCTACTCACTGTGTACCATGATTACTAGACATCTTATATCTGGAAAACTTAGCATAAGAGCTCTAAGGAAATACAAAGGTTTTGGTAGGTTTTGTTGTTTGTTCACTTGTGGTTTTTTGTCTGAAACTTGGACCTCCAAGTACATGGGGGATTATAAGGTCGAAACTCCCACGCAAAACTGTTCTATATGAGTCATGCTCACTAATGGACTTAATCAGGTGTATAATTTAAAGAACAGAAACCCCACCCATTTCATAGAGCTATGCAGCCAGATAGCTCAAAATTATGAATACAACTAAGTACACTACTGAATTAAAGCCTTGAAGAGTTAAGAAGATGCTTTAAATGGTAAATTTATCATACTAGTTTTTTTAATTACCCAAGGAATTACATAGTTACTTACAGGCCATCCCACATCAATTTCATACAGAGGGTATGGAAGATCCTCTTTAGTTTAAAAACAGGAGCAGCTCAGAGTAAACCCCTTTTTTTGGACATGTTAGCCATTTTTTTTTTTAACATTTGTTGCCAAAGCATATCTTTTACAAAGCTTCAGAAAGACAAATAATCAAAAAACACAATTAAAAAAAAAAGAATATCGTTAACAGCAGAACTTAGATAATATGACTGAGGGACAGTCTAGTGATGGAGATGAGACCCAATTCAAGAGTAATTAATTCCTCCAGTGGAGGAACTGACATTATTCATTTTGGATTAAATGAAACTAGAAGATAAGTTTCTCTCTATATGACTGCTTTGCAAGGAGACAGTCCACAGTAGTTATCAGACTTTGCATTCACTCTTCACACTCTGTAACACCTTTCACAAGCAGACAAACCAAAAGGCACTTTGGCAAAGCAACACTGGAAATTCAGCACATCTGTCCAGGCTTTTCCTGCTGCATGGGTGGAGATGAACTCAGTCTCCAGGTAGAGCAAAGCAATAGTTGAAAGCAGAACTGCTATGAAACACATTATTTTCTGTTACACTCACTTTACAAAAGTAATTCCTACATGAAAAACATTGAGATTTATACCTATAAGTTTATGTATGTACACACATCCAAAAGAATTCATATAGACACACAAACATATGTGTGTGTATATATAATTTATGCATACATATATATATAAATAAATAGACACACTTAAGTATAAGACAGCAGAACTAAAGAGACAGCGACCCATTCTTGCTTCTTTGTGACATATGAGGAAGGTCTAAAATCAAGTTGTTTTCTTTACTCTGCAAGTATTACACATGTCAAGTCTGATCTAACTTTGTTTTGCTGGAAGACTTCTTGGACTTATAAGGCCATAGCTAAAAGAGCTTCTTACTGTCTGACTGAAGGTTGAAGTCTATAACTATAGATGGAAGTCATTCCCAATAGCTTCTCTGCTCTTTGAATTAATTATGTTTGTAATAGCCAAATTTTAAACAATTCAAATAAAAAGTCAACTTCAATTTATCTTCCAAGTGACAACAGAGAATTCCTGAAAAAAAACATTTTCAAACAGAAGATGCAACATAAGAAAAGAATCCCCAGTATGAACATAATTTCAATTTAAACCTTCTTTACGCTACCTAAAAAGCAACAGAGAATGAAATTCTTTACATGTATGTGATTACAAAAACACTTATTTGATTCACTGATGAGAAAAACTCTATTATGTACCAAGTTCACCAGTTTGAAGGCACAATGGCTATCACTTCATCCACATCCCATTCTATTTACAGTGAAAAACAAACAAAACAGATCTCTATAGAAAAAAAGGAGATAAACACAGAACAACCCCTGAGAAGTGAAATTTTATAACAAATATATTTTTTTGAACTCTGTTCTTTGTAAACTCCCATTATCTGTACCTGTTTTCTCATGTAACTAGAATAATAATGTTTAATAATTACAATGAAAAATATAGACTAAAAAAAGGTAAAATTTCAAAGAAAAACAAATGAACCCAAACACAATTGAAAGAAATGAGGTCTCACAGAGAATCATACCAAAGCTGACATCTTTCAGTATGGAAAAAAAAGCAAATCAATCTAAAGTTCTCTGACAATGCCCAGATTTCTAAAGAAGAAAAAAAATGGAATGGCATAAACTAGTTGGAAATCCCATAGTGCCATCTGTGTGGAGGGAAAAAATCAAAAAGCCAACTGTGCATGCCCTTCTTTGGATCTGGAATTCCTCAGAGATTCAGCAAAATTCAAAAATCTGAAGAACTAGGTCTTTCAATAAAATCAGGTAAATGTTCTGTAGCTGTTTCATGACATGGTTTATAAAGTATTGGCACCAGTACAAAGAGTTCAAAGCAGTCATTCAGGAGTCACAGAGATTGTCAGATTTTTAACGATTTGTAGCAGTCCTCTAGTAGCAGTTGGTTATTTACTGCACAAACTGAAGTGTTCTTTGTCACTGATCTTCAGTACAATACTGTACTTCTCTCAGACAAAGTATTCTTCTTCTTATTCCAGTAGGTAGTAAGTGCCATCAAGATAAGAATAACAACCAATATCAAAAGACAGCCCATATTTTATGGTTCATATGCATCAACAATGGCTAAAAAGGTAAAATTCTAAACCAAAGCTGTACAAAGCAACATACTCTAGCAGTGGTATTCAAGGGAAAAAAAAAAAAAAAAGAGAAAAGCTTCATCGAAGAAAGTGCAACAGGAAGAAACTTCCAGAAATTGTCCATCAACAAAGTTTTCCTTCTCCAGAGGTTAAGCAGTCTCAAAGAGTGCAACAGTACTTTGAGCTACTCTCCTCTTGGAAAAACAAAACAAAACAAAAACCCAAACAAAACAAATCCAGTACTAAGGTTTGGTGATCATAAAATCATCAAATTGTATTGCCCTTGTTTCAAACCCATTACATTTTCATTGCTGTTTTACTGAACGAAGACGCTTGTTTTTACACCTGACAGTAGATTTGATGCCAGTGAAAGGACAGTTGCTAACACATTACCCTAAGTTCTACTTTTCATGATACTCTGCACAATAACCAGACGTATCACAAATCAAGTCTTGACCATGACAGAAATTTGAAAAAGGAAACTACCCTGGAGTTTTCTACACACTACCAGTTACAACATTAAGTACTTGGCTTATTGTATCTCCATACCAAGAAGCAGCTGTAACTTTTATCTTTCATTTCTGCTCTAAGTTCAGGTGGTCCAGATTCTTGCATTTATCTGTTGTGTTGCTTAGGCTGGACTGTAAAACATCATTACATCTATTTCAGGTGAAGGAAGGGAGAAAACTGTATCAGATAGAATTCATTGCCAAAACTCGAAGAAGACAAAGTGCCTTTTCTATCTGTTCTTATACACACTTAAACTGGTTTTCAAATAACTAATTATAGGCCAGATCATAAAAGCTTATGCTGCAGGCCAAACTAGAATGCTACAATATCTGTGCATGTATATACAAATACGTATGTATACATTTATACATACACACACAAGCACATGAAAAGGAAGCACCCATATTTTCCTTACTGATAAATACTAAACTTCTGCTTTCACCTGGATATTGACATATTGTATTGTGTATAACACCCTGTAAAGGGACATTTAAGAAGACATTCATTTGTTTCTCATTAAAGCCAGACATATGGCTAGTATTTAAAAACATGCAGTGCCACCAATTAACAGAGTAAAATAATTCTTAGGTACAATATCAACTTTAAGAAGCATAATACATTTAAATGTATTTTACCCATTTGTGTAGATAATTAATATTTTCCACCATTTTATAGCAGATTTATATTCTCCTTAAAAAAAAAAAAAACAGCAGAAATTTACAGGAAAACAACTCTGTCAAACGAGTTCCACAGCAGCATATGTAGGGAGTCACTGGGTGAAACTCTTTTTTATGAACACATTAGGAAAGTTGGCATTCAGTTCTAGCACAACTCTATTATCAATCTGTGAACAGAAGGACACATCGAGTAAAGAAAGATCTTTACAAGACTCCAGCAATTTTCTTAAAGATGCAGGGCTCACCATCCTTGTTCCTGTTCAAAAACAAAACAAAACAGAATTATAAAGTTACCAAGAATAGTGCAGGGTTTTAAGCTGTTAATACCATGTCATGAAAAAATGCTACTACAACACAACTTTTATTTAGATCATTTAAATTAGTTTTCAAATTACAAGCTTCTCAGCATATAGAACTTTTACATTTTAAAAAAACTAGCGTATTTTCTTAACTGCTTAAGTCGCTGTCATTGGGAGGCAACTTTACAACTTCAAGGGAATCTCTTACTACAGAAGCCAGGTACCCAGAGCCACAAAACCTCCAAGGGACCAGATGCTAGTCCTAGGCAGCAGCATGGAAGGCTACAGTCATGCCCTCCTGATGAGCACACAGTCCATTAGCACAGCAGATGAGTGACTGGGGACTATTCCAATTCCAAAGGCATCAGCAAGGCTCCCAGGGCTCTAGAGCAAGTGTGGGTATTACACACATGCAGGGGCAGTTGTTCAAGAGAGTGCTGATCATACATAAATGTATGTATAAAACACACTAGTCAAACCCCGCTAAAAACAAGACCAGAGCGACTGAACTCCTAAGTGTCACACAGGGTCAGATCAAGCATAGGATCCAGTCAGAAACCAAATAAATTATGTTTATAAGGACAAGTCCACACACCCATTACAGCTGACGGACATCCAGACAGCCCAGCCCATGGTGCTCAGCACCTGGTTCATCTGACTGGGCCCTGGGGTGAGTCAGCTGTCTGAAGTACCCAGTGCCCCCTGGGGACCTCACACCATGCAGGACATCCACACACAGCAGGCAGACAGGACACTGGACCCAGAGGAGATTCATGCCTTACAGAAAAGGCTGGAAACCTGGCAGGTTACTCTGGGCAAGTGAACTGAGCCTGGGTGTCTACAGCAGGCTAAACTGCTCATCAAGCTTTCCCTCTAGAGAGTTTATATATCCAAGACTACTGCAGAAAACTGCTGGCAGACTTGAACTCACACAGCTCCACCTTCAGCTAACTAGCACCCCAAAAAGCCACCTAGTTCAGGATCTTGTCTAGTGCCAGGGCCAATTATATTCCCTACACTCCTTACCTCCCCTGCAAAAAGAGAAGCAGATTTTTTCAAAGTAGATTTTCACTGGTGAATCTTCTCAATTGCCAAAAATTGTAATTTTAGGGTTTCTAAAGCTATCTTTCATGGATTCTACTACTTTTCTGAATTTCTTCGTACTTACAGCCCCTTCACAAGTTCCACAGTTTGACATAATGTCAAAAAAAAAAAAAAAAAGAGAAAAATAAAAAAATTCCAGCCTATTAGTTGCAATAATTAAGGTGCAATGAAAGAAGCATGAGATCATTCCCAATTCACTATTTCTAAATCATTCCTACTCCCATGCACATCTCTTCTGTTCCCTCAAGGCCATCTGTTTTCCAGACTCCCTTGCATCTCAAAATGACCCCTGTTGTGTTGTTTCTGCACTAATCTAGTACTTTTGAAACTGGATGACCAGAACAATACAGTGCACTGAGCACACAGTCAGTAATTTTATAGTAAGTCTTATGGTGTTTTTTTTCCATTTCATGTCTAATAACCCTAATCTTCTCTATTCCCATTAGAATAATGCTGGGCAATGAGCTGACGTTTTCCAAAAATTGTCCACAGGATGTCTTTCCTACAAAACACAAGCTAGTCCAGTCCCCTATATATTTAGTTGATGTTATTTTGCCTCATGTGACTACTTTGCACTTGATTCAATGTTTTCCTCCTGCTTTATCACCTGTTTAGTAAGTATCACAAGATCATTCTGCCATTTTTCAGTGTTAAGTTCTTCAGTTGAAGATTTCTACCCTGAATACCTGTGTGTTACCCTCTGGCATTATTCACCCCTCTGCCTGGATTATTTACAAGGAGATCAGAACAGACCCTTGGTGACCACAGTAGTGACATAACTTCACTGTGAAAAGAGATGATACATTCTTGTCCTCTGAAACACTCGTAATCCAGGAAAAGATAGCTAAGTTACAAAAGCAGCACAACCTTGGCTAACGTTTTTGAAAATCCAATCTTCTATGGAATGGAGTAGTGCTCATATTCACCAATATTTCAAGGAAATTTAAAGGACCAGAGAGGCAAAGCTACTACTACCCTTGCTGGGATGCAGCTCTTCATCAGAATATGGTAATGTCCTCTGGATGTCCACTGACTGACTTTCTCATGCCTGCCACTGGTTTACACAGTGCAAAAGATGATCTTTTTGTAGCCCCTAACCCAAGCCCTTTACAGAAGGTTGTGCCATGTTTGTAATCCTGTATTACTCTAGCACTGAGGCTGATTTAAGAGACAGATCACACACCAGAAATAAGATTTCCAGAGCCCTGTATTTGAGCTCATTTAGAATCACTGCATAAATACCATTTAGTCCTAACAATTTATTATTGTTCAATGTATTGATTTGTTCAAAAGCTTTCTGTATTGGCATTCCAATTTAAGGTAGCTTTCCAGGATAATCTCCTGGAAAGAATGGCTCTGATGTAGCAGCCTGCTTGATCCCCTCTGCCATGAACACCAAGGGACACACAACAGCTCCCCTGGAATAGCCCTGTATTGGGGTGAGCCTTCACACCTGGACTATCTAACGAGCTCAGCCACTCCTGTGAACTTGTAACACAGGTTCATTCCCAGTAAAACAGGTGAAACACAGTATCATTCACCTCTAGCCAGTCATTCCTTAATACTTCACACTGGCTTGCTGTGATTTTGTTTCACTTTCTAGAGTTCATCTCCCTATTTTCATTCTCTGAATGGGATTCAATTTCAGAAAGATTCCATATGGCTCCATTAGTCTCTGGTACTCTTCTGCATAAGCAAGGAGGTATCTGAATGTGGTCTCCAATTATCCCACATCAGGTTCTCAGATTAGTTGCTTTGAGGCATTATTGAACATCACCCAAGGACAGTCTTTGCTATCATGCCCCCAAATTTTATCCCCTCTAGAGAGACTAAGCATGTCATTATCACTCTGATTTTTAACTCCCTTACCATTATATAATCACCATCATCAGAACTGTCTGGTGGTTCATGTAACAGTCCCTAAGGCTTTACACAGAAATTCTGTAACATGCTTTATTTATTCACTTCATTTGACCATGAACTTTACCACAGTATCACTGTTCTACCATAAGGACCTGCTCTACCATTCTAAATGCAACTCTAGGAACAACACATTATGCTACTTATCTTTTTTTCCACCAAGACTTAAAATTGCTACTACATCAGCACCTTCATCTAAACCCAGCCTCATTTATGCATCACAGCTTTTATGCTTCAAGATCCAAACGTGTGTTTCTACAAAAATTCTAGATTTAGATGCCTAGCCACAGATTTTTTTTTGTGTAGGATGTTCTTCATTCCTTCCTACCTGAACTTTGATAGTTCTCCTATCATTTCATCCAAGACTTTTAATAGATTTGCAACTAAGTAGGTCACCTAAATTGCATGTTTTATTGCACCTGGGTTTTTTTCCACCTCAGACTTAAAATTTTATGTTAGGAATACCTTTTTCTAAAAGCAATCCAGTTGGGGTTTGGTTATTCAGACCACAGGATAAATGAACATCATCTGCACTCTTACTTTCATTTATACAATGTACAGTTAGTTATCCTAGAAGCCCATTCAAAAGCATTTCAGAATTTTAATACAGCACATTTTCCTTTGCTTTTGAAAGAATGGCAATGTAGCCTGCTAGTTAATTACTTATATAGAGCATTTTTCTTCTAGAGTTTGGAGACTTGTGGACCTTTATTATTTACTACAACTTCTCCTCCATAGACTAATCAGCCATTTCTCAGAATACATACATAACCAAAACATTAAAATCTGCTATTTAATTTTGTTGTTCAGTCAGTTCTCTGATACCACCCTTGTAAAAGGCACCTCTGAGTAATGACCTCTTTGCTCAAACAATTATGCTTATTAGTTGTAAATAATTTAATTGATATCCATCATATATCAAAGTCTGCAAATTCTATAGCTGTTTAGGAGACCTGTGCAGGACAGCTATAAAAGCTGCAGAACCCAAATTTCTACGGCAAGAGACACCACTAGGCCAAGACACACCCAATAATATTTCAGAGTACAAACTCTTGAAAATAACTAGCACTCTTCCCTCAAATTTTCTTTTCTTTCCTTTCTTTCCTTAGACCAGCCAAACTAGCCTCTTATTCTTTACATTTTATTCAATCTACTGCACACAACTCAAATTCAAAACTTTAATGCGCTACACATTTTCACGTTTGAATTGACTAACTACGTGTTGATGTTCTCAAGATAAAGCTGAAAACTTTGACAGCTGGCAAGGGGGCAGTTGGGTTTTCTGTTGCTCAGGAAGGTGTGGGAGGTGTTGGAATGTAGATAGGAATACATGAATTTTGTGGTAACGAGGGTGTCTACTTTTCATTACTCTTTTTGTGCAGGACAGAGGCAGTTGGACCTTTTGGGGAGCGAGGTTAATACGATTTACTCTTCACCCTTGACAGCAGCTGAGAACCCCACAGGAAGAGAACTAAGCAGCTGATGTGATGTGCAAGAAAAGCTTCTGACACTGTCAATTCAGGTTGCCATCTGACTTGTCACATTGCTCGATGCTGATCACAGTTTGAAGACAAGTTTTTTAACTACTGGTCTAGAGGTGTCCACTTAACTTGATAGCACTGGCTGATGTACTGCGTCACTACAGAACTGTCAGATGATCATGGCTGGATCATTCTGACAGAGGGTGGAAATATGCCATGTCACTCAGTGGAAAAGATGTGGGCTGAGAAGGAAATGATACTTGTAAGCAGGCAGTTCAGGATGTAGTGGGTAAAAGAAAGCTCAGAACTAAAAGTTCAAGAGAAGCACATCCTCATGCATTCAGTGACACACACCACGCTTCCCCTTCCAAAGTTATGATACAGCAAATATGGGCGAGCCCATGATTTTTTTTAAACAGAAATTTACTTTCTGTGTTTTACATAGCACAAACACAGCCTGACATCCACCAATGCTTTACATGGGCCAGTAAGTACACAGAGTCCTTGAAAACCAGTAATTTTCATCTTCTACAGAGTACTCTGACTGTGTAACAAGGAAATTACCAAACAATTATGGTAAAGGACAGATGGGTAGCAAGCCTCAGGACCTGTCACTTTCAAACAGCATCCAGCCTATACATAATGTGCATTTTTCATCCCTTACAGTTCAACAAGATTTCTTTCAGAGGCTTAGACTCCTCCACCCCTGAAGCGATTGTGATGATAAATAACCTATAACCGAAACAAGAAGTTTTCTCTGTCAAGTTTCTAAGTTCTAACAACTGCAGAGAGACACCAGTATAGTATCCTCAACAGTGGTGACTGCAGTGAAGGGAAGACATTCTGACCCTTACTTAGATAAGAGCTTGTATGCAGGAAAAAACCTCGCTTTTACACAGCTTTGTTGAAGCAAACGAAGTTCCCTTACAGCACACAGTGCTAACCTAGCAGCAATACCTCTACACCCTTCACAATGCACATGCAAGCCAGACGTTTCTTTACCTGGGAGATGACAAAGGATATAATGAGAGCACCTCTCATTCGTTCACATCACAGAGAAGACCCACTGTTCAAGGTTACTCTTGCAAAGCTGAGCTCTGACCTCTTACAGCTCCAGACCTGTTGTCACACTTCTACTGAAGGACAAAAACATACTACACATTCATGCAGCTTAATGTAACAGGATGGCCCTGTATCACATGCCCAAAGTCAGAGCACATTCAGAGGTTTATGACTTCCTTGGTACTCCCGCACAGTGAGAGACTCACTCTTTAGTGCCGACAACAGAGACTTCTGCACTTACTTGGGAACACCTGGCAACTCTACCTCCAGATGACACAATGTGGTTCTACTTGACAGCTCTTTCTTGTAACCACAGACTGTACTGGTTACTACATTCAGACAAAAAAAAATTAACACAGTTTCCTTGCTGTTGCCAAAAAAGCAGGATAAGTCCTCCACGTATATAGGGACTATCACCTTGTACTGACTTGTTTACAGCAGAGGACAACCTTTTTTTCACCCTACCAAGTATTTCTCTGAAGTAAGAAAGAAATATTTTTTTCCATATTATTAATTTTGCAGGAAATTCAACTAGATATCCCCTAGAGGGGATTTATCTGAAAGCAACATGCACTCTCATAGGAAAAGTTTGACTACAAATCCATCTGACTCAGGAATATTGGTAAGCACCCAGGGAACAGAACAAACTCCTTTTCCACTTTCACTTTATTTTTCAACAAAAAAAATCATTAGGATGTCCAACTGAATTAAAATCTGAATTCAAACACTAAAGAAATGTGGCAGCAAGCCTTCACTGCGGACAGACAGGCAACAGAAGAAACAGACTATCCATAAGTTCAACAAAGCCAAACTATTCTTTGGGGAGCCTCTGGTGCAGTAACAAGGTCTGACCACTTTGTGGGCAAACACAAGGCCACTGTAACAGAAACATGGAAGTGGGTGGTCAGGGGCACCTAAGGGGTTTCTTAGAGACTTAATTCCCTACACCATTTGGAAATTTTCCATGTCTGAACAGGGCAGTGTGCCCCTGATAATTTAGCTGCAGAGCAGATTCTCTTTAAGATACACAAAACACAGTACCCCTGGGGGGGATAAACATAACGTATCTACAACTTGAACTAGGGGGAGTTAAGGTTTTTTCTGTTCATATGTCTTTCCCACGTTGATCAGAAGGCAACTCTCTCAGTCAGAAGCGACTAAAATTCTTCATCATTACAGAACAGTGTACTGGAATGCCAATCTGAAGCCATACGGTAAATACTTTGAAATTATAAATGCTGATAAGAATAAATCTTTAAACTTGCTTGGAAAATTATTCATGTTGATGGCTCTCAGTTCTTTGCAGTATCCCTCTCAACCTAAATGTAATATTTTCATTACAATTAAACATTAGAAGTATACAGAGCAACTGCTTTATTCCCTTTCATTTAAATCTTCCTTTTTCAGCTATCCTGTGAAACTAAGTTGGTAAAACCACGAAGAATTTTCTCCCACACTGATGTCATAAACATCTCTGCTGTCCTACATTATTATAAAAAGAAAACCTCATATGCCACCATAAAAGAATAAATTCAGCATCACACAAAACTGCACTTCTCAAAGTCCTTACTCAAGAGTTCAAAGTATATTTACTTTAGATCTCTAAAAATATTTTCAACTATGGAAACTGCAGAGGATTAGAAATTTCAGATTTGCTATGCTTTTTGACCCCTATCACTTCCTTCCCACCTTATCAGAAAGTCTATTTAGGTTTTGCTTTTAATTACCCTTTCATCTTTAGTAACTCAAATTCACTTACCGATAAAAGTGATGAAGAAAATCAGTATTGCATAGTACATAATATATATTAGATAATACATAACAAATATTTATTGCACAAAAACAAAATGTTTATTGATCACAGACTCATGCTATAAATATACTTTGTCACACTTCACAGAAATAAAAATACAAACAAAAGCAGAAAGAATTATAAGAAATTTGATCTTCTGATAATCAAAAAAGAAAGGCTTCAATTAAAAAAGCCAATGGTCATGAAAATATAAGTTAGTGGAAAAAATCTTGCACTTAAATTCCAGTTTAAGCAATTCATACTCAGCAGTCAAATTACACAGCTGGTATCAATCTCCTGGCTTCTGAGTCAGAAATCATGCAGTGAGTAAAACGTCCCTCTTTTTTTTATGTGTTAAACCATAACTTTAAGAAACAATTATTTAACAAACTTGTCTGGAAAACAGTTTTGTCTTAAGGACTCCTTTTTAACTGAAAGGCTTTTGAGACCCCGTAAAACAAAACCAATACTCCCCCATTCTCTTACCCAATATATCCAGCTGCCGTAAGTGCGTGCAGTTGGCAGCGAGCTCCTCGATGTCTGTGTCACACACAGACCTGTTGGCCGTAAGAAAGAGCTTCTGCAAATTTGGGAGTTTGCGTGCAAGGTTTGTGAAGCAGCCTGTACTGCTCTGGAGCGTAGGACACCACCCAAGATCAAGTTCTTCCAAAAGCTGGCAGCCCGAAGCCAATTCCGCGATCCCACTTTCAGTTATGTTTTTACATCTCCACAAATCCAGACTGCGAAGCTTTTTGCATTTTGCTCCCATCATGCTTGCTATAAGGTCATAGTCTTCAATCTGCAATTAAAGCAGACACTCCGTCATGTGCAGCATCATTCCAGACACAGAGGCGTTTCAAGGTTTGCTTCCTAAACACGTAACACATCTGTCTCAACCATTTGTCATTTCTAAAGAGCTCCAAAAATTGTTCCTTGCACGGTACAGTGAGATCTACTTTTATAGAAGACAAAAATAAAATAAATTTCCTATAAACCTCAGACACAGCTGTTTTTAAATTCACTTAATACTGAGGATCAAACTGCAGCAAAAGTTGTTTCTTTGAAGAAGCTTTTATTCTGCACAGTTGATGATTACATCAGCTTTTATGACCACAGGAAGTGCAACTACTGAAGAATGATTGAAGACTGTACTCATTTCCATTTTAAGTTGATCACTTGCTGCATCTCTTTATGAAAGCCTTATTAATTACTTGTTAAGTGATTACACATATAGAGACTGCCCAAAAACTTAGAAAAAGGCTGAAGAACTCTGAGAAAGCCTACAAGCCATTATAGGCCTACTAAATTAGTACATAACCCTTAAATATATGACCAAGCTACATTCATCTTGGATCTTCCAAAAGAGTAGAGTCTTGTATAAACCTCACATTTAACACACCTTTGTGAAACAAACCCAGATTGGTTCTAAAGCAAGTGCACACACAAACACATACAAACAGACACACACACAGACACACACAATCCCCCCCATATCCTGAATGGTCCAAGCACTCACCATGACACAGCTGCCCAGGCTGAGGTGCTGCAGCTCCGAGCAGAAGTTCAAAATACTGAGCAGGGCTGTTTGCTGCCACGGGGGAACACATCAGAAGGAAATACAGAAAGTGAAACAAAGAGAAGAGGTCAATTAGACATTAAAGGCTGTCACCACATTTCCTGAAATACAGCACAAAACTCTTTTACAGGTGCCTCAAATACCACTTAATGAGTCTCTGGGTACTTTACCCATTGATTGGCTTAAAGAAATGGTAATCATTACAAACCTTGATGCAAGTCACTTTGGATGGGGTTGTGTGCTGCCCTGAAAATACCCACACAACACTGACCTATCCATTCATTTCCCATAGGAGAGCTGGTGAAGAAGTGCAGCAAGGTCAAATAACAGGCAAGGCCAGCCTGCAGACACAGAGGGCTGGCCACACACCAGGAGAAGAGGGCAGGCTCTGACAGTCACCGGTCAGCTGCAGCCTGATGGAGCTGCCAACAGAGCTGCACAGCATCAGGGCTGGGCTGGGGACTTTAATGTCAAAGGCAGCTCCGTGCTGACAAGGATGCTGACAGCCACGGAGCACCTGTCACTACTATCACGCAGACAGAAACAGATATAATGGGTATTTTACACTACTGTTCCTGCCATTTACTTTGCAGAAAGTACGGCACATTGCTCATCCTGAGACTGACTGCAACATCAGATGCACCTTACAAAAGTGAACAGCTGGTCTGTTCCACAACAAAGGAAACTTTACAGATTTTTACCTGTATTTCTAAGCTGAAGAAAAGATCCTTCTGCACTGTCTGAAGATATATTTTGTTTTGAATTTGGAAACACTCACAGTGTGAAAAAATGAATATAATCTGGGATTCACATCACAAATAACCGTGCATCATTTCATTGGGACTTTGTGATCTATATGAGCTTTAAAACAGGACTAGGCTTCACAACATATTAACAACAAAAATGTGCATTTCTACAGGATATACAACAGTTTCTAATAGAAAAAAAACCAAGCAATATACAAGTGACAAAGTAATCTACTGCTATTAAGTGTAATTACAAGAACACTAGTCAACAATGTTTGTATGCACGGGTAGTATAATTTATAATTTCTTTAAATATAAATTTACTTGTATTCAGAAAGTTTACAGTTAAAATCTTTAGTTAGTTTCCTCTGTTCCAGTGGAACTTGGCAGAAATATGATCCTTTGCCATATCACCAAGAAGAAATATCTGATTCCTGGAAAGACTGGCAGACACAGAACAGGGACATAGCATGGGGTATTCACAGATACCATTTCATACGTTTCATTTAGGTGCCTCCGAGGAGCAATTATAAATACCCAACACTTGACATGATGAATCTTGATTCCAGCTTGGCTTTCTAAGATTTGATTTCTCAAAGGCAGCCTAAAAGTAGATGCTAAGAGTAAGCCTTCCTCACATACATCTTGGTAGGAGTCCTATAAAGTCACTGTCCCTTGTTTGCTTGACTTTCATTCATTTTTTAAAGGAAAAGGTAGCTAGGGAATGAAATCCAAGCATTAAAAAGTCATTACTCAAGAGGTTATTAAGAATATTTTAAGGTTGGTAAATGTGCAAGTATCCAATTCATTTTAAATTAAGCAGTTAATAAGCAAATGGTTCATTTGTATCATGAAAGAGGAATAAACAAATAACTCAAAGAGAATGAGATAGTCTTTCCTATTCAACTCAGTGAAAGCTATGAGCTTCAGAACCTACTCATATGCATAAATTAAAAGCAAAATCCCCAAACCCCTGTCAGCAAACCTTAAATATTGGAGCTAAATAAATCAGACTCTGACAGCACACAGAGCTCCAAACAAGGTTTCTGCAGGTATTCAGATGTCTCCACAGGAAAGCTGAACATATTGCTGCATTCTACCAAGTCTTTCAGTAATGGTTTCCAGATTGGAATTTAACTGGCCTGAAAGGATGGGAAACAACAATTTCTTTCCTTAATTGACACAAACAGTAGAAAAGTGAACAGTCACTCTGAACAGCTTGTAGGATGTGAGATCAATTCCATGCCTCTACCAAGAGAGGTGAAATAGAGAGGAGGACTAATATTCATAGTTTTCTTGATAGATAATTGAGCTCCACGTGTTAACTTCAACAGGAATGTCATGGATCTCTCAGAGTACGTTTTTAGTCCCTCTCTTTTTCAAGACAGTCCTTCCTGTACTGCCATGCACTGAGGCTACATTTTCAAAGGTCTTTTCACATCTATTACTTTAAACCATTATTTAAAAAAACAAAAACAACTTTAAAAAAAAAAAAGCACTAGAAACCTGAGTAATAGAAGGGAGCTTGGTAGAACACCATGTCATACCATTACAAATCATGCCAAGTCAAGCCCAAGAGTAAACAACCACATACTCAACATTCATTTCACTGGCTATATTAATTCCTCTTCTGGGGCGCACACATGCCCACACACAGCAAACCAGATTTCCTTCAGACACAGTGTCTGTTCTTCTGTAACTGAGGTGGGCTTTGCATATGTCATGTAAGAAGAAAAAACCCTTTGTGCATGCCTAGCTGTGTCTCAGTCAGTTGAGAATCCAGGTGGCAAAAGACATGAAAATAGCAGGAGAGAATGGCAGCTCACAGAATCCATATGCACCACACACAGGAGGACGATCATTGTAATAACCTGTCTGTGTCAAGCCATCTGTCAGTACAACAACATGAGCGACAACACTCCTACTTCAGCAAAGAACAGCAAGGCAGTCACCCCATCCTGAAGCTGTAACAGGCCAACTTTCCAATGTTAGAGTGCTTTGCAAGAGGAGCTTTAACCTGGAGTCTAACTTCACTTTCTTGGCCAAGCACAGACATTCAAATCAAAGACTATCCATTAACAACATTCTTCAGCCTAGCAGCCAACACATGTATAGTTTGGAGATTTCTTGATTTTCCCTTGAAACAAAGGCAAAGTTTAGCTTTGTACCTGCTCCCTTTTAAAGAGATGGAGAGAAGAGAATGATTACAAAAACTCACAACAAAACACCCTGGAAATAAACTTTAGGTAAGACTTACTTTTGCTAAGTGGAATCATGGCTTCAGTGGTCTAAATTTCTTTTGCCATCCAAGCAAAACCAAACCTACCAAAATAATTTTTAAAAGATGCCACAGACAACAGGAAATGTTCAAAGTGGGTGAATAAAATGGTCTGCCCTATGCTCAATTCACAGGAAAGAGGTTTTTAGATGAGGAAAACAGAGTGAAGAAGTTGTTTTCAGAGAGAAGACTGTGATGTCAAACTGATCAGAAGGATATGACAGTGCTGCTAAACACAACCTTACAGAGCAGATTTCAGAAATATTTTAAGGCATAATAGTCATAAACCTCAGAAAAAGGGAAGATGGCCTGAAGATTCTCTGCAATCTTTATATACCAGTACAACAAACCCCTCTTAAAAAGGACATCAACACAGCTGATCCCGGCTTGAACAAGAGATGAGATTACTGCTTGAAATCCAACTTTACTCCACTAGAGAGGTGACAGGTCTGTCCAAACACCGATGTCCTCCACCCTGTAACACACGTCTGGATACAAACAGTAATACTTACTGTGCAGTGTATACTTCAAATAAGCAGGTAGTTTTGGACTAAATTGTATCCTACCTGCCTTTGTAAAGGCCTTGGCCATCACACAAGTTTTGACTTCTATGTTGTAAAAGTACTGCTGGTTTGAACAGACAACCCACCAACAGAAAAACCAAACACTGCTGCCAGAGCAATACACTTAGCAAGACTGAATCTTACGTGGCTTTTTCCAGGATTTTTTTATGTTCATGATCCAGCAGAAAGCACAAATCATTTCTGATGCTAGTATGATAAAGAAAGCAACCAACAGTTAGCCTGAGCTCTATGTCTGTTCAAGCAGAAAACCCTTCTGTCTGTGGCAGATGTGACACACCTGTGAAAGATGCACTTAGAACATTTAACTGTTTACGTATTGCAGTTTCATTGTCAAGTAGTCAGAGATTAAAAAAAAAACATAAAAAGAGTTTAAAAAAATACAAATGATGCACTAATATGGTATAATATGGCTACCACATAACAACTGCACTACCATGCTACAAGGCATGAAAAGAAGTGCGCCACAGCGTGACTCTGGAAGATTAAAGGAAGACCTTAAGAAAAACAACATTTTGCTTTGAGTTTGGGTTAGGGAAGAAACAGCCTGCAGATTTTAATTCACTTTCTATAGATAAATCTTATACTTTATAACTTTGTAACTTATACTAATCTTATACTTTATACTTTGTAACTCTTTTACTGGAGACAAACAACAGGTTGTTTTTTCCCTTTCTCAGAAGAACCATGTCTGACATAAATTGGGAATTCTTCCAGTCCCTCAATAAAACAAGAGTCTAAGTATTTTAAAATACATTTGTTCTTGAATTGAATTGTTTCTTCAATTTTTTCAGTGAAGTTAATACTAAGACAAAGGAATCTAAAAATTATCTTAAGATAATTAAAGACTGCTTCCTCCCTTCCCTTGCTTCCTATGTTTTTAATCAGAATTACTAATTCTCCAGTTAATCTTTCTTTTGAAGAAAAAATTGAATTATGTAGGATTTAATTTTGTATTTTTAATGTTAAAAATCCAAGTTACTAGTAGAAAATATTTCCTTCAATAGCCATCCTGACAACCCTGCCTCAATAAGGAAGGCTAAATGTGGTAAAGAGGAGGTGACTCTGCAGGGTGGTCTAAGTATTCTGTCTTCCTAAAAACTCCCAAAGTCAATGACTTTTGAATAAATTCCTTAAAATTCTTGGAACCTGAGATATTGAAAGAAAGAAGAACTGGAGAACTGTGAAGGCCAAGCAAATGAAATCTATGTCTCTCTCAAGCCCACCTATCACATCCATAATTCTCAGAAGCCAATTCTTTAGCAGAAAAATAATAATATTCTTAGAACTGCCAGAAAGGCTCCTCTGCTCATGATCTGGGCAGAAGCTTCCCTTTTGTTCCCAAAAGGTTTACATTTACAGCAAGGGATGTCGAAACTGGCTGACTCACCCAGAGAAACACACAAC